GCAGATCTCCGAAATCACGCCTGCCATCCCGACTCCCGGCCCGCTTGGTTTAGAGTCAAGCGCTTGGGCCAACTTGTCTTGCTGCCAAAAGCGGCAAGTGTTAATTTGCGCTGCATCAGCTGCTAGAGCGTTCACTATCTGGCACGTTGCAATCAAGTCTTGCCGTGCTAACCTCGACGAAGCTCAGCCAGACTCAAGCGAACACTCGTGGTACAACTCTGCAGCAGACTGTGGCATGCAGCACGACAGCGCTGGCACGTTGACAACAGCGAAAAAGCATGCGTTGTGGCTTGAAAGCTTCACCGCTCCACCCGTCTCCAAGAACCTCCTGCTTGTTTTGGCGAGATGGCGCGATGGCTCTTATAAACCCTAAACAACCCCCAATGTCAGCCTCCAAGGCCGTGTTAAACTTTCAAAGAACCCGTTTAAAACTCCTCTCAGAGATGGGGGCGTTGCACAAGCAACTTCAATGAATTCCGCGTGCCTGCAGGCATGCACAAGGACTGGAGACAGGACCTGCTCTTTCATGGGGGGAAAGACTGTCTTGGAACGAGAAAGATGACAAAGCGCGTTGGCAACTGCGGTGCTGTGACTGCAGCTCGCATGGGATAGCTGAATTCGGCCCTCTTGCGACCTAATCTGCATTGCTCTTGGGGAGCTGCTGCACCTCTCCTTCCTGCGTCTGCTTCAGGCTCAGGTTACCTTTCAACCTTCGACCCCTCAGCAGGTCCTGCAGACGGACGTTAAAACTGCATCCTCCGCTTACAACTGCGAACTCTGGGTATTCAAGGTATGATTTCCAGAACCCCCTTTTTTTTGAACCCGGACCTCTATCCAATCAGCCGTGAACCCTAAACCCCCCTTTACTGGACAACATTGCTCAAAATAAGATTGGGGATTAGGATCCAAACTCAAGGGCTTCGGCCACCACTATCTTCCATGGTTCAATTCTCATGCTTTCTATGGACCTGTCGTGATCGGGAGAAGTGAGCAGTGTACATGGCGATTGCATGGCACGTCTCAGTCGAGTTCGAAGGCTTCGGGTGTGAAGAGCATAGGCCTGAACCAATCGTTCTTGATGCGGGCGGAGCCTTTCTCACAGAACTTGGAGTAATTTGCTCGAAAGCCTTGTGTTGCTGCAGGCGCCACCTCCATGACCTTCTTCGACATGTGGAGGTTCAGCTGACGATTGTGGAAGGAGAGCGCGAACTCCTTCGCTACACTGCTGGAGCGGAAGTTGATGAAGCCATATCCGCGATTTCGCCTGGTCTTGAAGTCCATGGGAAGGTAGAAGAAATCGAACATGCCGTCGAAGCCCGCCATGATGACCTCGTGCAACAGCTCCTCGGAGGCGTATCGGTTGGGGATGTTGCGGATCATGACGGTGGTCATATCATCCTGAAAGAGGCTGACCACCTTCTGCGCGTCCATGATGGGCGCCTTCTTCGACTTCACTGCCGGCTGCTTGGAGCTCGCGCTGGACTCGATGGCTCTCAATTTCTGGATGTCGACTAGACCTGGATCCAGCGCTTCGTCGCAGAATCCCGTCTGCTCTCGGGGCTTGTGGTTTCCTTTCAACTCCGGCTTGGGAGGCTCGTCCGAATCGGGAGAGCTCTTTTGGGATTCCTGGGGTAGCAACGGGCCCAGCAGCAGCTGATGCCTTGTGGGTGCTGAGCTTTGTGGTGGCTCCACAGGAACAACGCGAACGGCCGAATAGCTTGGCTGGGCCGGTAGAAGTTGCGGAGCATGAGATACTGTTACTGAACATAGGCCCGGCTGTGCACCGCATGCAGCTCCTGAAGCGGAACAATGTGCTGATCCATGCAGCCATTCGACTGTGTGAAAAACACAGGCGCAGCATTGATCGCTTGTGCAGGAGGCAGCCACACAACTTCCATCTGCCCGATTCCTCCGAACGGCACGAGCTCCGCATACCCCATGTATTGGGTCATGGCAGGCTTTTGCGGGAGAGCGCCAGTAGGGGAATCTCGACAGGAGGCTTCGAAGCCCGACCCTCACAAGTCGGAGGCAGTTTCGTTTGGTGTGCTTTTCTCGCGTGGCAAGGTTTCGTGGGCTTCGGGGGCCAAGACAAGCGAGACACACAACATGCTGATAGAGCCCCATTTTGCCGACCAATGCCGACCTAGCACTGCATCGCGGGGGCATACTGAGGAGGGGATTGCGGCCTCTTTTGAAATCAATATTTGGGAGCTTTGTGAGGTTCCCCCCACTCAGCCCCATGCCCCATGCCCCAGGGCCTCCCATTCCCATACCCAGGCCGCAGAGTCCGCCCAGGAGACCTGCAAGATCAAGGAAGGCTCGCAGAAGGGAGGATCTAGGTACGAGGAGGTTGCCATGTACAATGAACAACAACGGGAGAAGTAAAACAACCCAATGTTCTGTATGTAGGGCACTGGAACCCCAACTTCTGGCCAGATATTCTCCGAGCGTGTGGCCACAGCGCAGGCAGTTATACTGGCACTTACAGTGTGAAAGACAGGAGCGCCTCCCACAATCTCAGATCTCAATGCCTGCCTCCACATGTCTTACATGCTTCATGTCAACTGCCTGTCTGCGGAAGCATGCCCATCTGGGCCAGCATCATGGCCTCGGTGGCAACAGTGAACATCAGAAGACAGAAGAGATGTCGAATTCGAGAGAAGTGGCGCTTTTTTGTAAACTTAGGGCACGCCCTTCGCACTGGGAGAAATCCTGAACTCCGAAGCCCTCGGCCGGCCTGCATTGGGTCCATGTTCATGCCAAGGCCTGGCAAATCCCAAGGTCTTCGAAAGAAACAACATTTTCGGATACATGTAACATGAAGACAGGAATAGAAGATGATAACTCAACTACCATAGAAGGTTGTGTGTCATAACGGTTCCAGTTTTACCTGGCACGCTTCGGATACTGGACACGAAGCACAAGATGAAAAACACAGTGAAGGCCAGACTGCTTACCCAAAGAGTCCCTTCCTTGCGTCGCATCGCGATTAGGAACCTGCGCTCAGTCAATGCACCCTTCGGCCACGATCAGGAGCCCGCGATACGGGAGGGATGGGGGCTATCCAAAATGCTTGCAAAGCATTTCCCCCCCCAAGCACACGGGGGTTGGTCTAAATCAGGCTTTTGACTCTTTCGCACACGATCATGGCCTGCCAGTTGCGCAGCAGTCGCGGCGGCTGCCGGATTGACAGCACCTTCAGCTCTACCCGTGAGGCCCCTGTAGACTCTGAAGGCTCATGTGGGCCTCCCGGCATCCCCAACGAGCTCTCGACTTTCTCAATAAGGTAGAACAAAACCCACGAAGCTTCAAGCTGCAGGCTCACACCTTGCCCGGCGGGTGCCGGAGAAGTGGCCTGCGTTGGAGATCCGTGATCGTGTCGGGACTTGTATCTTGTGGGTGCTTCACGCGTTTTGAGGGCAATCCTTCACCGCCCTTTGCGTGCTGTGCTCACACCTAGCGTGCAACTAGCGCTGTACATGACATGAGTATAAAGTGCGTCCTCCGCAGGCCGCGTCTCCCCATCTTGGGCTGGAGCCTCGGCTGGTCATGAGGACATATAGGAAACTTTCAGGCCCTCAGAAACCTCACAACTCAAACAAAACGAAAGCAAACTTCGAGTGAGAGCGGCTGCGGGCTTGGCTGGTGCTGGCTGTTTCGCCTGGGCTTCTGCTAGGACAGCCTCTGGCTGTGCGCTGGTAGCCACCGAAGCCTCCGTCCTGGTGAAGCTTTGGTTGTTGATGGTTGTTCAGCTTGATGGTCTGCAGTTTGACAGTATGCTGGCAGCACTCGGGCAACTATGCTGAAATTGGGGTTGTTGCGGTTATTCGGGCCTCAAGCAGGGTAACCCACCTAAACTCTTGATCGCCGGAACTGTGAGAGTCTTCCCGAGCTCATCAGGAGTGACATTGCAAGACTGTCTAAGTCCAACCTTAAACCTCCGGCATCAGCATCTTATTTGCGAGTTCAGTATCTGTTTCCATCTGTTTCCTGTTCGTGTGGGGATGCAAAGGTTCCTGGAGCTGCTTTTTCGTAGAGCGCAGGAAGCCCCAAAACTCAGCGACCCTGCCTGGAAGCCTCACCAGTGGGCAGCGAGCTGAGCAATGCCTGGCTGGAGGTGCAAATCCAAAAGCGCAAGGAAAGGAAACCCTCACCCTAGCCTAAACCCTAAACCCTAGACCCTAAACGCTAAACCTTCTGGGTGAACAAGAGGGACAGGGGGTTGGTTCGGTGCCTCTTGGTGAGAAGTGGCACTTAGATACTGCAAACGTCCCCAAACTGTAAGCCAAAAAAGCTGCGCAAGCACATCTAAGTTTGTCTCTTACCCGTTCTCTTTCCTCTGCCCTCTGCCCGATTACAACCTGGGAGCCCAGAAAATCCCCTTCTGGCCTCCTGGAGCGCCTGCTGCTGCTGCCTGCAGCTCCCGGAAGGGTGGAGTTTTCTGTGGGGAAGGCATTTTGGAGGAATCCAAGGCGGAGTGCAAGATTTCCTGACTTACGTGTCTGGCCACCACCTGCTCAGCCTCATGAACGCGTCTTTCAGAGAGGCCTCTGGATGTCCTCTTTAGAGCCAGTGTCGTTGTGGGCAGCCTCCTTGCGGATGAGGCGGTTTTAGGTCTATTGCCCCGGCCCATCTTCCCTGAAGATCGCTTAAAGGATACCAAGCTTGAATGCCGGAACCCCCTCCTGCTCTCCGTGACCGCGCAGCAGTGAGGTAAGCGCCCCGGACGCAGCCTCTGGTGCCTGGCCCAGGTGTTCATAAGAGTCGCTTTATGGTAGCAAGATTACGAGTAACTTCTATGGAGTGCTGGGTAGACCTTGTGGCTTTCAGGTGTCTTGGCAGTTGATCGCAGCGTTCCAACGCTGGGGTCAAGTCGCAACGCACGCCTTCAAAGGAAGCTGAGCTCAAAGCCGCGTCACGCAGGCCTGGCCGGTTGAGCCCAAGATGCCTAAGGCATCTTGAAGGGAGAAGACACAAGGGAGAATTCCTCAAGGAGTCCTTCATGGCATGATCTCCGTGGAGTTGTTGCTGGTGTTGCTCTCAGAGGTCTCCGATTCGCCGGTGTTGTTCTCAGAGGTCTCCGATATCAACACGGAGTTGTTGCCGGTGTTGTTCCCAGAGATCTCCGACATGGAGTTGTTGCTGGCGTTGTTCTCAGAGGTGTTCGAGAACCCACTGCTGTCGACACTGTTTGTGGTGGAGTCCTTCGAGTACGCTGGGTTGGTAGTGGTGTCCCCGGACAGTGACTGAGCAGAGGCGGCCCCGTCAGCAATGTACTGGAAGCCGTACACAATCTCATAGTACGTCTGCTCGTCATCAGCAAAATCAGGGCAAAACTCAGTCAAGTCCAAGATATCGAGTAGGTCAGGCATGGCCATCTGCAAGACTCCTGCCCAAGTACCCAGGGTTGCTTGGTCAGCCGCCTGCTCAACTGCCCATTCGAGGGCCTTCTTGTGGACTTCTCGAGCTCCCACCGTCCGGTCCAATGCGCGGTACGCCTGGTGTGCCAATCGAGATGATATCTGGAAGACGGCCCCGTCCTAGTGGGGTGAACATCAGCACCAAATCAATGGCATTGACGCAGAACATGTCTTTGATGATGTCGCCGACCCACCCCAGTCCCTGCCAGAAGCGATCGTAGCCCCAGGAGTCAAGCCCGTAAGTGTGCTTCAAGGAGATGTCCTTCACTGCATGGGTTTCGTTCATCAGAGCCTGCCGAATGGATTGGACTCTTGCTTCGGATATCCTGAGATATGAAGGCGCCTCATCATAGAGTTCAGCCATGTCAAACTCCCAGAGAAACAGATCGACACTGTCATTCGACGGCAGGAAATTTCCGATGGCATTCACGAAGCTCATGTTGCGCCAGCCCGCCCAGAATGTTGAATTGGAGCAAGCCTGCAGCAGAACTCGTTGGCAGCGCTCGCTTGGTACCTAGAAGTTTCCCATGGCAAATTCACATGTTCTGAGAGGCAAGGTAGTGAATCCGTTTGGGCGGTCCAAAGCATGCAGGAAGTGAGCTCGTCGTTACCATCATCGTCCTGCACGTGGCCATGTGCTGACAGTAGCCAGAGGGGATGCAGCAAGATCTGAGGACCCGCGAAATCACCGACGTAACGTTCTCTGGCTGACTCTTCTTCGTCCTTGTCGATTGGTTTGCCCTCTCTCTTGCCGATCGCTTCTGAAGAAGCGGCATACTCATCGGAGCAACCTTGCAACTGTAGCCCCAGATATGCCACGGCTAACGCACAATGCTGTGGAAATCATGCTGCGGTTGCCTGGTGGCGAGCCCTTTCTGTACAGTTAAGTCGTCTCCGGGCCAAATGTCTCAACCAGCACATGGACGTCCGTCAATGTGTGTAAAGAAACAAAAAAACAGCTGCAGACAAACCCGACCCAGCAGCGAGATGAGAACACGAGATGAGAACCCAAGAAGGAGCGGCGCATGGTCCTGGGAAATGTTCACTCGAGGTTCCCTCGCCCGCTAGGAAGTACCGACTATGGGGCCTCCCAGCCCTTCGTTTCGGCAACATTTTGAATGGACAATCCGGGTGGAGAAAAATGTAGATTGAACTTCTAAAATGTGAGTCTTGGCCTTTTCCTCCTCCTTCTTCTCGTCAAGAAGAGGCGGCAGCACCCAGACTGTTTCCTGCATCTGACTTCATATGTCTCTAGCATCCACACGAACTCCTTGCGGGAGACTTCCCAGACGGTAGTCCGATCCCTGGCCACTCAGATACTCTAGGACTTGACCATTGCACACCCAGCCTTGCTCGTCCGGCTCCAGTAGTATGTACCTGAGGATCCGCTTGCCAAAGGTGAGGTTTGAGCATTCTATTTCAAGCCTGCTGCGCCCGCTGCTCATCCACTTCTCAGCCAGATGAAGCAGGAGAAACTTTATGAAACTTTTCTGCCAGATGAAGCAGGAGAAACCTCATGAAACTTTTTCTGCCCGATAGAGAAACAGCGAAGTGGATCAAGCTGAATCCAAGCAGCGGCCGTCTTTGGACTTCTCGCCGATCCACTTTACTTCCTCGCCCTCTGGGAGCTTCCAGGCCTCTTCTCTCCGGCTGCAGGGTTTGGGGGGGGATCTCTTGATCACGAACCCCTGAGAAACTAGGTTTAGAGTTTAGGGTTTGGGGTTTAGGGCCTTTAGGGTTTAGGGCTTGGGGTTTAGGGTAGAACCCCAAAAGGGGCTCCACTTTGAACCGTCTGCGGGAGCGAAGGGAGGAGGGCTGTGGCCAAGACACCCGGCTGTTGTCACGGCGATTCCAGAAGTAGATGCGGCCATCGTCAGTTTTGAGTTCCACCCACACTTCAGTCTGAACCTGAGGTCAAGAGAGTCGGGGGTTGGGGGTTCCTGACAGGCAATCGACTAAACCCCCCGTTGTTCGGAGGTGGCTAAGGTCTACGCTTTTAGGAACTAGTCGTCATATTGATGTCAGGGCGAGTTGAAGGAGTTCATCTCGACTCTAGATAGTCTGTCGCCCTAATTCTGGGCCGAACAAGCCAACACTTGCTGCCATCAACATCAACTCTGGTCGCACAACGCACGAGCCCAGACCTGCATGGGCTTTTGTAGAAAGAAGACTATATACTATCACATCAATACTGAGCATGTTTTTACAAGAATACATATCGCATAAGATACAAAGTACGGAATATTGCATCATGGTTTCATGAATTTTGTCTGCGTAATATAAATTTGCATATGCTTATGTATGTATATATATATACATACACACACATATATATATATATACACATATGCGTAGACAAAAATGTGAGGTTGAATAATAACACACGCTGTACTAGCTGAGCCGAGGTGCCATTTGCGCCCTGCACTCTGCCACTCAGCATTGCAGGCGGCTCTGTTTCAGAAGGGCCCCCGACTATCTCGAGGTTTAGGGTTTACGTAGGGTTTTGTTGGGGGGCGGGAGGTTCCTTTTAGGGTTTAGGCTCAGGGCTTAGGCTTAGGGCTTAGGGGCACGAAACCCCCAACATGGGCACATGTGTGACTTGGGACATCCTTGTGCCAAGACTCGGAAACTAGCTGGGGACGTCCCCTGGGGCTGAAGGCGCTGTGTTGGGTGGGGGTATGGGTATGGGTCAGGTTACAAACCAGCTCCGTTAGGCCGGAGCTTCTTGCGCAGTAATCGCCCCTAGCAGCGCGCGCGGCACACGCTTTTAAGCCACAAGCAGCGCGGGGCGCGTTCCATCTTTTCACAGATCTCTCGCTCGCCTCTTTTCTCTCTCACATCCACTCCGGCGTTCACACCTTCATGCGTTTAAGGCGAAATAAGCGAAGGTTCAGGGAATGAAGGTGAAGAGCTACCGCCCCGTGACCTTTCAAGATTCGGCATGCTTGGTCATGGGAGGGGTGGGCCTCAACAATCACCCCAGAATTCGATTTACTTGCCGCCCCTGAACGTATCTCTTCCTTGCAACCCCCTGTATTGAAAGCCAACCCCAAAACAAGTTCAAGCACAAGGCACCTGAAACTTTGCGTCAGACTGCCTCAACCCCACCTGCAAAACGCTGAAACCACACCTTCGGCCGGTGACGCGGCCAGGCAGCGGTGGAGCGGAGTGTTGCCATCCTCCATGCCCATGTGGCTGTAGAGCAGAAGCCGCATCAAGCTACGAAGGCTCGAAAGGTGCTTCCATGACATCGACAGCATTCCACCATCGGCCAGATGCAAGACTGTGCAAGATGCAAAGTGGGGAACTGCGCGCCCTTGAACCAGCCCCGACTGAGCCGCGCACCGGGTCCGGAAGCGCCAGTACCCTGCAGGCACATCTTCTTAATTCTTGTTCTCCTTGTCTTTCTCATGCTTCTTCTCCTTCTCCATCTCGAGGCTAGGGAAGTCCTGTTTTCTTTCAGGGAGCCTCTTTTCTTTTAGGGCCCCGCGCGCAGCGCGCGCCTGAATTCCTGGCCGGTGCGTGATCTTCAGCCTTGCGCCTTTCTTCCTTCCCTCGGAGGCCCGCTCAGATGGGCCCGAGTAACAAGTCTCTTGGGGTGACACTTAGGTAGCCGTGATCAAGGTTGCCTCTCTCTTGCTCGCTCTCTCGCTCTCTCGCTCTCTATGTTGTCTATTGGCTCTTTAAAGGGTTGGCGTTGGGCCTTGGCCATGTCATCAGGTCTGGTTGAGTTGAGGCTTGCGAGGATCTGGGATGCTAAACTTAGAGCGTGAGAGTCCCATCACGAGGCTACGCAAACCCAATGGAGCCCACATACAATGAGTTCCTTACAGACGCATTGGTCCATCACAACTGGTCGACGATATCAGGGGCATGCGGCTCCACAAGGTGCTAACCAAGCAGGCGTTTTTTTTTGTGCTTTTCAGCAATCACAATGGCCGTCGTTGTGCAGATCTTTGCTGCAGGGGAACCTCGACTCGAGAGTGAAGGTAATCCTCACGTCGTGAGCGTCCTGATGGGCCGATGCCACAGTGGCCAAAGCCATCCTCGCTTTGGACATGTCTTTGGTCCGAAGGGAGCTGGCTTGGCACAGCATTGGTGGAACCGGGATTACCAGGGGACTGCAGCCGACACTTGGTCCGATCGTGCTCCACTGCTTCCTGCCGATAGACCTGCAATAGCTGGCGTTTCTCTCGCTCAAAGTCGCCGAGAGTGCTGAACTCGCGAGCACGAATCTCCCTAAGGAACTGCAAGTGCCTCTCCGCATCACGCAGCTCTTCAGATGCCCGAGCGCATCTTGTGTGCAACTCTGCTCGGGCAACTTTCGCATCAACCTCTGTCTTGCGAGCCTCTTCACTGGCAAGCTCCAGCTGACTTTTCAAGGAGCATGCCTCGCGCAGCCGCTCAGTTGAGTGCTGAACTTGTTGAATGCGGTCCACTTTGTGTGGTTCCAGCACGGCTTGCCGCGCCAGGCGCTGCTGCTGCTCTTCGTGCTCCTGCAGAAGGACGAACATGTGTTCCACCTCACCCTCTTCCTTGCCGACAACTTCTCTTGCAAGTGCTAGCCGTTCTTCGGCCAACTCTTGCTCCTGGAGTTGACTCCGAAGCCTGGCTTGGCTCGCTTGCTTGCTCAACTGCATGGTCTTGGCGAAGCCCTCTGCCTGCCGGAGACCTTCAAGGTCTCCATGATATTCAGGAAGCCTTGCCATGTGCCACTCCCACCATTCGTTGGACTGCCGTCTTTCCTCTGCCAGCCGCTGGCACAAGGTGGCGGTCTCGACTTCTTCTGCGCGCAGGTCACTGCGAAACCGCAGCAGCCAGCGCTGGGCCTCGGCCCGTTGCTCTGCGAAGGCGGATGTCTTCAAGGCGATGGTCTTTGCTTCCGCACAGGCTTCCGCCATCGCGTCGGCGTTGGCGAAGCCCTGCTCTCTACCAGGATTGCCGACGGCATTTTTGTGCTCGACAGCTCCACCGGCACGGATTTTCAGGTCCAAACACTTGCGCCAGCGCTCGAAGAAGCCGAAGGACAAGCGCTTTTCGTCCTCAGCGAGTTGTGCTTGGGCAGCACTCAGAGCTTCCTGCAAGGCTGCAGTCGTGAGCACTGGTGGTTGCGAGGACAGGCTAGCCAGGCGCACTCGAAAGTCCTGTGTACTTTGCTCAAGCTTCCTTTCCGTCTGCATCTCCTCCTTGGAGGCATCTGCAATCTCTTGTTTCACTTGATGAGACAGCTCCCGGCACTGTGCCAGGGCCCTGCGCAGCGCCTCGCGCTGGGCCTTGATAGATCCGGCACGTACATTCGCCATGAAAGCCGGTGGAGGGTGTCTTGGGCAACGGTAGACAAAGAGTTCTTTCTTCAACAAGTGTTGAGTGCTTGCATTTAGGTGTTGGGCATGCTGCCGTGAGTTGGGCTCCATATCTTTATTGCTGCAAGTGCGCTTAAGGGTTGCTGGGCGTAGCTTCGTCAAATCTTGGGTCACTTGGTTACGTGCGACACTTCGAGCTCATGACAGCGTGGATCTCTGTCGGAGATTCCGCGTATTTCTCCCTGTCGGCTGTCCTGTTTCGTTCCAGCGTGAGCAACTAGATGCTTTTCTGACTCGCGCGTGCTGGCATGAATGTTTCTTGCTGTCTAGAAGAGATGCGCTCACTGCATGTAGCTTCGCCTATGGGGCATGCTAGGCAGGAGCCAAAACCCTAAACCGAAGCCATTTTGGCTCAAGCACTTTGAGACACCAGCAATGGTTGACGAGAGCTCGCTGTAGCACAACAGAACATGTTGGAACAGGTTGCCTCTGCTGACATGCCGATAGCAGACGATTATTGGGGCATCTTTCTAACTTGTCTAAGACTCTTCCGACTGGGCTACACACACCTATAAGTTAAACCCTCTCTCCCTGAGCCAGACCGCCTCCTCACTTGCGCTGCTCCATCACCCCGGCGCCGGGCCGCGGCGAGGCCTTGCATAGTGCAAAACTGGGGCTATGGAGTCCTCTGGAACAAGCCCCAAGCCAGCAGTGCGAGAGGAGGCATCGAACGGCGCAAGCTGGCGCACGTGCACGGCCTTACACCCTCACCCCTCCTCTCGACAACAATACCGTTTCCCTCTCTTGCCCCGCGCCCCATATCTAGGCCTTGTCTGTTGTGTGAACACATTGTGCATTGCCATTCCCGATTTACTATTACTCTTGCTGCTTGCTCTGGATCTTGCCATTTAAACTATTAGCTATTGCAGGCTATTGCTATGACAAGAAGATATCAACAAAAAACAAAAACAACAATAACATAGCAAACGTGGAGAATACAGCATAATACAGCAGCAACCCAGCACCCCGTATTACTAGCAGTACTGGTACTATTAATGCCGGGCTTATGAGGAGTTTGGAATTTAAGCCCCAAGGCATCTGGACAAGGCTGCGACAGTAGGTGACCCTGTCCACATCCAACGCGACCACCGCGCTCAGTAGGTCCTTTCGGCTTTAAGCTTGGAAAGCAAAAATGGCTTGAGGGCTCGGCGTGGCAAGAATGGTCAGTGCCGGGGCGGCCTTCTTCCCAATTCCAACCCATGGAATTTAAAAATATATCCCACAGTACAATTCACTTTGCCGGGATCTGCTAGACAGTCCATGCAAACCTTCATCCACCTTGCTCAGCCGCCCTGGAACCAGCTTCAGCGGGCCGTGAACCAAGCCAAGCAAAACATCAATTAAATAACCGAGACACATCTCTTTGCCTCAACCCTGTAAGTTGCAAAGCCCTCCTTAACCCTGTAACCGCATGAGCTGCGTTATCTCCTCCACAAAAAACTTGAAGCCGAGTGCTCCTGCGCCAGGTTCTCTGCCGCCCCGGCCTCGTCCTCGTCGCTGTCCACAGCAGCGCCTCACAGGATTCATGCCTGTCGGTGCATTGTCAAGGCCTGTTGGGTGAAGCTGCCATGCTCCTATCTTCAGGGCGCCCTGAAGAAACCACGTGATTGGGATTCCTGCAGCTGTCCCTTGGAAATATGGCTACCACCACTGTGTCTGATGCTGCACTTCCCGTGCCTGGCCGGCTGTCTGGCGTAAACCTTCCATGGGTAGGTTCTCTAGAGACTCGGGTCTCTCACCGGAGCTTGTGCGACTGGGGCTTGGCTTCGGCTTTCGGCATTCGGGGCTTACATTGGAACCCATACCGACAGAACACCGGTGCAGCTCCCTGCAGCGGAGCCACAGCGAACGCTGCAGCAGAGGAGGTCTTCGAGGAGGATATGCCTTCTCAGACACTGGGGATTGGAGCTAGAATGCTTTCCATGTGCGAAAGGCGAGAAGATGTAGGAACTGCGCCAGGAAAAGTTGCACACACGGTCGCTCTATACAAGTAGATATGTACATGTACATGTGCATCTACATATGCAGAACATGCACAAGAAGACAAAACAATTGGGCATGTTTCACGTATATCGTCGGTGAGTAAGGGGATGCTTAATACTGCTTTAGTTTTTCATCTTCTTGTGCATCCAGGCCTCGAAGCTTATTTACGCCCTTAGAAACCCGCAGCCGCCTCGGCAAAAATCTCGGCTTGCCTCGGCACTCGCGCGTGTGGGGCGAGCTGACATCCCGTTCCATCACACATCAGCAGCACACCCTCGTCTACCATTCCCAAGCCACTTCAACTCGACCTTCTTTCAAGCTTCATCTGTGGAGGCCCGCGCCGTATACGTGAGAGTAGCTATCAGGAAGGGCCATCTCTGAAAACTGAAAACCACTTCGGTCTCTTGCACAAAGAAGAAAGCTTGCACGATGCTCTCCCAGCGGCTCCACAGCGGGCAGGCGGATCTCCGTCCACACCGGCATGGCATCAAAAGATGTCAGGTATTGGCTCAGCAGGTTAGTTGGGCTAGCAGGTTTGGGCAAGGCAGAAAGTTCCAGTCAATCCTCAGAGTTTTTTCCTGGTTTGGGGTGTGGGATGGTGTGGGGGGGTTCGGGTTGAGGGCTGCGGCTTCGAGCTCCAGGCTTTGGGCAGATGACGGACTGTTGCCCAAGGAGATGCCTAAGCCTGCCAAGCGCTTCGTCCTGTGTGCCCACAACAGGTCGTGTCTTTAAAACCTCCGTCCTTGGGCCAAAGCTTTGATAATTGGGCGACCTGCTTCCAACGTGGCAAAAGCTGGATCCCAACAAGGCTCTCATTGGGCAAATCTCAGCACCCATGCATCTTCATCCCGTGCACCAGATTATAAAGCCAGTCTCGCGACATCTGGGTTTTCTGCTGCCTCGCCGCGCATGTCCGCCAGGTTGAGGCGACCCCTGCCGGGTGCAAAGCCTCCCATTAAAAACCGGGGCACACGCCCTCTTGGCGTGAGCGCGAGCTGGAGCTGCGACTCGAAAACTGAAGCCAAGCAGGCCCAGCTCTATGGTGATTCTGAGCATGGAAGCTGGACGTTGCGTTGGAGATTGCGTAGCCACAAGCACAGGAGCACAGGAGCCTGAACTGAGGGAAAAACGGAGGGCCACCAGGCGCTAGTTTCAGTTTCGTGTGTCGGCAGCTGTGTGCGGACGCTGCAAAGCGCAGGCTGAGGCTTCAGGGTCTTTCGATTCGAAAATGCAGCTTTGGATGTGAAGGTGCAGAGGTATGTTTGGGTTCGTAGGGGCATCCAGAAGTCCAGCAGAATCGTGGGCCAAAGGGCTTTAACTAGTTGCTGCGTTACATACTTCTCTAGCTCTACTCCAACTGCACCGAATCAGGATGCTTGGGAAGTCTGGCTGTGGCCGTTGACTCGGATCTTTGACAAACTGTATGTGAGGAGGGTGGTGAGGTTAGAATGGGGCCAAGAGCTTCAGAACATCTCCCGGCTGCCAAAGGGTTCGCCACAACTCCAGCAAAGCACCATGCCAAATCTTCACAGCCCAACCAGGAGAACCCCACGAAAACCTTGCCCCCTTGAGGTTGAAGCCCAAAGCCCTAACCCTGTCCAAACCCGACAAACCGGCGAAAACCCCGACATACACTGAGCTGCCCTAAAACCAATTAAATTAGGGCTTAGGGTTTAGGGTTTAGGGTTTAAATCAACCCCCAGCTATCCTTAGATACTGGAGCCTTTGAAGCCCTGAAGCCCAGAGCCGACATCTGGAAAAATCAGGAGCTCCACAGGAGCTGTCCCTCACGCTGGCCTGCACGTTGAGGTCTTCATATGCATTAGGATGGTTTAGGGCCAGGATACTTCCCTAGTGGCATGGAAATCAGATTACTCAAATGGGGGCTACAGTAGGGTTTGGGGCAGGAGGGGTGGGGCCGTTGGGGCTTTCGACGGGGCTTTTTAGCGGCACCGGTTCAAGCTACACTTTTTTGGTACGGTAGCATCTAGGATTTTGGGTGTAGGCCCCGAAATCCCCACGCTTCGACAGGCAAGAAGTTCGGGGTCGGGCCAAGCATATTCTTCCAAATTCTGCCAGCTCAACGAAAGAGCTGCAGTTCAGGCAAGGAGCGTGGGCTGCTTTGCGTCCACTTTGATGAACTCAACCACCTGCGGATGCATTCCCAACCCACTGACAAGGATCTCTGGCCAGCCGAAGGGTTGTTGACAGGGGCTGGATGGGGGGGAGGGAGGCCCCCCCCTCGAAGAGCAGGAGGAGCGGCAGCAGCAGCAGGAGGAGGAGCGGCGCAAAGAAAAACACAAGATGTGACTCAGAGGATGCACTGCGAGCCCCTGAATGCGAAGCGTTGTGGGGTCTAGGGTTTAGGGTTGCAGGTACTCCCGCAAATATTCCATCCCAGCCCAGGCCTCGTTGGCAATTTCAATACCAAACTCCACGCCTCGGCAAGGCACTGAATCTCAAGGGCTGCTGAACCCTTGTGAGGGATAAGTGCAGTTCGTGTCTCGGTGGCCGCGAGGTGGAAGGTGCATTCTCCAGATGCACAACTCTCAGCCCTTGCACAAATAACAGTTCAACACCAACTCCTGAAACACACCAGAAAGGCTGAAGCACGAAGTCAAGCATAACACTCGCAAGGGCTTCCATTCGTTGCAGAAGTAGGGCTTGCGAGTACGCATGCTGATGTCCACACGAGAACTGTGAAGCCGAACTCGAGAGACGACACCAACAGCTCAAAAGCCGAGAGGCAACGCCCCAGTGCAACCTAAGGCTGTCAGGAGCTACAGTAATTTACCATGAACCTGTAGCCTGGAACCTGCCCCTGGAACACTGGAAAGGAGGCCGGCAGGTTGGGCGGTTTGGGGGCAGTCACAGGGCCATGCCTTCGGGTACAGCTGAGAAAGAGGAAGCGCAACCAGATTTAGGGCTTAGGGCTTAGGGTTTTCGGTTTAGGGTTTAGGGAAGCTGGGCCGTTTGTTGCCAAGGGGCTCCACCGACATAGTTGCCCGCAAGGTACATGCCTAGGAACATGTTGCGACGAGCACAAGCTGCACAAGCGCCTATTGTTCAGGGCGATGGCTCAGCTGCGCGGGCAGTCTATTGTACATACATGATGCCGTTGTCCCCGACAACACAACCCCGCCACATTCGGCCCAATCCCGATTCGCCCCTTCATTGTGGCTGAGGCTCCCTTCACCCCGGCGTCGGCAAGGCTTTCCTTGACGTCGGCCAGGCGCTTGTTGTGGCCAATCTGTGGGCACTCGGGTTTTCCCAAGCACAGAACCATGAAGCAAGCATGAAACACATTGCGTGAATCAGCAATGGCCCTTTCTCTCTTCTGGCTAACATTCTATGCTGCACCCAGAGCGAAATCCTCGGATGCGAAATCCGCACCTCCAGCTGAGGGATGGCACGATCCCAGACGCGGACGCCCAACGCCGTTGGCAGGTTGTCCGCCTGGAGGCATCATGGACCCCAAATCCAATGAAAGCCGTGGGCGAGCTTCTGAAGTAGCCCCTGTCTACCCCACAACGCTGAACCTGCAGAAGAGGGCTGTTGCTCTCAGCTCGTGCATGCAAACTATTGTTGAACTCATACATTGGGTTGCGGCTGGCTTTCACGCAGTTGCGTTTTCACATTTTGGAAAAGGCCGCTGAAGGCTTTGAGGCATGTTGAGTGATTTGGAAACCTGTTCTTGCGGGACGGCGTTGACCGCGTTTTCGGACACATCCATGCAAAGCAAGTAGGCTTGAGGCTGAGCCTCCCCTCAATCATCAACCCTCATCAATCAAAGCCACACATGAGTTCTGGGAGACCCTGAGGAGGCTAAGCCAACAAGAAAGAGTCGCAAGGAAGTCTCCAAACCACCGGAGTTAAAACTCTTCCAACGCCAACCTTCCTGCCAAACACATGAATTAAACTTCCAAAGCTTCCCCAGAACCCTCCCACGAGCCGCAATAAGCTACACAACATGTCACCAATCCTTCGGGGTCTCGGCAGGCTTTGGTAACTTCCCGACTCTTCTGCGCGACTTTAGCACTGGCATAGTTTGCTGTGTTAAGGGAGTTATCCGGAGATTTGGGCTCGAGTCTGAAGTCTGGCCCTTGCCCACAAAAGGCTCTGAAGAAGACCAACACCAATAGAAGAGACCCTGCATGGCTACATCGACAAACTTCGAATCCGCCTCAGATGGGTGCAGCATCGTCTGCACCGTGTCGCGATGCGTAGCCTTTTTAGGCAGGAACTTTTTCGGCAGTGGGCAGTGTTTGACAATGGCATAGGTGGCGTGTCGGGCTTGGGTCTGACGGTCAGGGCTTATTCTTGTCCTCTACGCAGGCATCCATAAAGCTGGGGCCATCAGTCATGGAGTTATTGGAGATATTGTTACCTCGCAAGCACATCATGCACATCGGCTTCTTTTAACATAGCATGCAAGCCGGATCGAACTAGCAGGCAAGCTGGCGATGGAGAATGCCATCATCTACAATCATGTCGCCTCCAAACTCACGTAGGGTACATCTGACACAGTCGGCTCTAGTTCAGCACCTGTCATGTAAGTTCTGTCGCTTGGAAAAAGCCGTTCTGACGAACTGCCCATGAGCCGACAAGTCTGACCCGGTCGCCGCAGTGAAACAAGCTAACGGGCCGTGGCTCCTGCTGGTGGCTTTACTGCATATTGCAAGGGGCGACTGCGACTGCAGCGCAATCTCAAAACCATGCCAGGGCTGGGGGCTACCAAGTCATCTGTCATCTGATGCACCTCGTGACCCTCGTATCGTCAATCCAGGCTCACGTGACCTTGAAACCTTTAACATCGAAAACCTCCGTGGCCCCTAAGCTCTGAACGGTTGAGCCCCGACACGCCAAAGCGTGAACCAAACTATCCCAACCAACAGCAAGTAACAGCATACACAGTAGCAAATAAAAATTTTGAACGATTAAGATGCCGCCCAAAAAGATGTGCGAGCATCTGAAAAATGTTGAAAAGTTGAAACCAGCAGAAGGAGCCACGGCTGCGCGCATGATGGTCCAACTCGCTGGTCATGCGGCTCTCGTCTAATCTGCCTCAGAGATGTCACCATCATCGTCCGGGCGTCCTCCGCCCAGCGTTGCATAGACCTGTTCAAAGGCTGGGAGCCACAGTGATGATCTACTAGCTGCTCATGGCTGCCGAAAGGGTAATTACCCCAAACCCTAAGCCCCACGGTTTCACCAAGTCCGTACGACTCCGAACATTGATAACTTCGCACAAAGCCTTCTGGCATTCCAAATTACACCACCAAATAACTAACCGTCAGCACTTGCACAAGGCAAAACACATTTGAGAATCACGATGCTTTGCTTGACGCTGAAAGGTTCAAAGATTCCGTCATAACGCCTCCTCGGCATGGCTCCGCACGGCAGGATTGGCATCGCCCAGGAAGCGCGCAGCATGCGCTGGTGACGCACCCATCTTCTCGAGCGCCGCCACGGCGCTTCTCCGGACCTGCCGCAGACTTTTCGCGGCGGCGCTTGTCTGAATGATGCTGGCATCGCAGCTTTAAGGAACTTCAATAACAGGTCAAACCTACGGTGCCGCAGCATCGACGATGATCCTAGAAGTGCCAAACACGAAGAGGTCGCTCTCTGTTGTCTGGCTTTTGGTGCTTTCTGTTGAAGCCTCTACCGCCCAAACAGTTTATCGTGCACTGTTCACTGCGCCTACCTGTTTCAGATACTGGAGTTGCTAAAGCTCTCAAACTCTGCCTCTGCCCGCCTGGTCATTCTCATCTTGGGACAAGGCAGCCACCTGCTCGGAAAACACGTCCATGTGCCTTTTCTGCTCCGGAACACTTTCAAGTAATATCTGGGTTTGTTTTGATAGGGCTTTTTTTGATCTGGGCTATATGGTTTACAAAATGCTGGGCCGAAAGTCCCAGAGTCAACGTGAAACTAGCAAGCGCTTCTCAAAAGCACCCAAGATGCAGGTCTCCGAGGGCCACCACCGTTGCCAAGCGCACGTGCCAATCCTCATCCAGCCTGAAGTTCGTGCACCGACTGTGTTTGGGCTGCCAGGAACATGGGGAGTCTGTTCTTTTTCAGGCCATACGGCAAAAGGTCCAGACCGTTGCAACACAAAATCTTCGAACAGAACCCAGACACAGTCGCTGGGCAACTTCGTGCACGTGGGTTTTGGCCACGCTTGGCGGCAGCTTGGAGTGCAGGGGGCTGAACCTGGGTCCCAAGTTCAGTTTTCTGAGACCCAATTCCCTGTGCTCAGAGGGGGTTGGGGAAGCCTTAGAAGCAATCGCCAAGAACAACCGATCGTGCCAAGTGCAACCTAGCAACACCTTCACTGCTGACTGCCTCACACCAGGATCCGCGTCCTCCAGGAAAAGGAGAGCTGACAAAGCCCCCTGCGCGCCCATCTTGGCCAGAGCTGACAATGCCGCGATCCGAACGCCCACAACACGATCGGCTTTGAGCTGTCCAAGCTCTGGTGCAAACTCTTCGGCTTTGAGGCCTGACAGGGCCTGGATTGCGGCGAGCCGGGTTGCCAAGTCCGTGTCATCGAGGCAGGAAGCGACTGCGGCAGCATGGCCTGGCCCTGCCACTTTCATTTTGCTCAATGCCAGTAGAGCAGACTGGCGAGCCACGGCCTGCGGTTCTGTCAAAGACCTGGCGGCGGACTCTGCGGCCATGGCATCGTCGAGGCCTCCCAATGTCTCGGCAGCAAAGTGCCGCAGGCTGTCGTCTGAATCATGAAAGAACTGCACCAGGTGTTTTGCACCAGCACTGCCCACTCGGCCCAAAGCCTGAACTGCGGCCCGGCGAACTTTCACATGGCGATCGGCAGCGATGCCCACCAACGCTTGGAAATGCTCGTCGGTGCACTCGGTGCCCAGTTCACCGCAGGCCTGTGCCGCTGCCATGCGGACGGCGGTATCCTTGTGAGACAAGGACTTTGAGAGGCAACTAGCATTGCTAGCACGTGCTATGGGGCAGCGGCCGATCTCCATGACGGCTGCTTTTGCAACTGTCGGATATGCAGAGGCCGCGAATGGGGCAAGCGCCTTGGCCTGTCCTACGGCTACCAAACAGGACACAGCAGCCAGCCCCACATCTTCATCAGCATCCTGGTGCAGTGCAATGACCTTAGGGACATGTGGGGACACCACCTTGGTGCTCACTTGGCCCAAAGCTCGCACGGCCTCGCAGCGAACCTCGGCGTCCGGGTCGCGAAGAGCGGCCACGAGCGCGGAGGCCTCCGACGAGGCACGGAGCTTGCCCAGTGCTGTGGCCGCCGCCTTCCGCACCCCCGGCTCCTCGTCATCAAGACACTTGGCCACTTGGTCCGAGTAGACATCTGCCGACGGCCCGCAAAGGCCCAAGGTCTGGAGTGAAAACTTTCGCGTGTTTGCATCCCAGCTGGTAAGCTGGTCGGCCGCGGACTCCATGGCCTCTTGCTCCTTGTCCCTGTCCGCATATCCTCCCTGGGCTCGCGCGCCGGAACCGTGGCCATTGCGGTACATGGAAAACGTGGGTACAAAGGCAAGGGAGTGTGAGCCACATACTGGTCTCGCTAAAGTCTTCTCTTTCGCGGGCTACGCCTACAATGTATGTCGTCACGTTGCAGCCTAAACAAGGCCATGCATGAGTCTGACTCGTTCGAGCCAAGCATCAGCGAATGACCGCGACTGTCCCAGAACGAATTGCGCAAAAGGTCTTGCCAAGGCCGTCGGGTTTCCGTGCCCTTCAAGATTTTAGCGTGGGGCATGAAGGACTTCCAGCATTCTACGAGGTAACGAGGTAGGGGACCTGGCCTCCACCAGCTCTCCTTCTGTCATGTCCTGCAAGTGCGTCTGAACTTCAAAAGTTTGCGGCTGTAGGCTGGACAGATGAAGGGTCAGAGAGCGTGAACCCTGTGCAACTTGATTGATATAGCTAGCACTGACATGCAATGGGAGATTCGCAAAGAGGTTCGATAGCTGGACCCCGAAACAGGCGGCCCCAAGACTCCCCGGATGTACGAACTTGCAGCGAGGTGCTGGCTCCAGACCGGCCTCAAAAAAGCCTCTTTGGTTTCTCTGGCTCTTTGACAATCACATGGCAAACATGCAGGTACAAAGTGAGCGACTGACATGAGACCGCTATAACGGCAGTAGAAGGCAGTTGAATTGTCGAAATTTTCGATTGCGAGCATCTGCGGCATTCGACTGTTGCGTGTTGCCGAAGCCTATACGAACATTGAATGCGCACCTTGTTCTTCACTTCACGACATTTTCCCCACCAACATAGGTCAGAACGGTGATGACTTGGGAGGCCAGGCTGTTCTCTCCTAGACCGATCTCCAACCTCGGGCAATACTTGCCGTCCTGGATCCCGCCAAACAGCTCAGGATCGCGGGCGCCGCCTCCAACGAAGTGATTTACGCGGGGGGGGGGGGGGGGTGTAACTTGCAGAAGCCGTGGGGCTCTCACACACTTCGGGCCAAGCACAGTACCTGGTTGTGCGGCCCTTTTCTGTTGCAGCTCCGAAGTACAGAAGATCGTGGACCAACGGGACCACGACAAGTGAGCTCAAGCCTATGTAGTGGAGCAGCATGATCTTGTCATCGTCAGGCATGCGGTTTCTGGGCAGCCGGGACGCCCAAAATTGTCCAGAGCTTTGGGGCCCGGGTATCACAGTAGTGCGCCAGATTCCCCATATTGCCCCACCAGCCTATTGGGAGACTCCGCCCCTCCGAAATGCTGAGCCGAGCGACGGGAAGAGTGATGAGGAGTAGATGGTTCCTGGGCATATCGCACTTATACCCTCAACGCTAGGGGCCTTCTTGTATCTGTTCTGGCGCTCGATTGTTGACCTTCTTGTGGTGCTCGGGGGCTGGGAGGGTCCGCTTACATGCTATGTGAAGCAGGCTGTTGTTCAATAACTAGTAGCCACACAAAGACACCCTATCTGAACACTCACCAAAAACAGCAAAATAGACCCTGCGTCAGAAGTGCACTCTGAGCTGGGGCTTCAAAAGGCGAGGCAGGGGTTGAGGACAGGTTATACGTGTGTCACGAGTTCGGGCTGGCTCAGGGAAGAGAAGTGTGCTGCAAGTTCTGTTTAAGCGCACTTTGCGCCGAGAAGCCAAGGGTTCGAATGCCCTGCGTTCGCGGATGCAGTTGGCCGAAGCCGTTCACAATGCCCTTGCCTTGGCCCAAATTTTGCGCGGCTGCTAGAACTCCCTATAACCACGCTTTACAGAAGAAAGGCCTTGCAGATACATGGCAAGCAGGCATCAAAGCTGCATCTAGACATGCGCGAACCTTGGCAAAGTGCCTACTAGCCGATTAGGTCCTATTAAGTAGGAGGATCCGGAGTAGTCAGGGAAGTGCAGGGAGGCTTTCGAAGCTGAAGCGGCCGTGCGCGGGCTCGCGGAAGGCACCTTGGCAAATGCTGGGACTCTCTTGACAAGGACCCCACCCTCGGGACCCTCTAAAAGCCCCCTTAAAAGGCCTAATTTATAATGACTGCAAAGGAAGCATGAAATTAGGGCCTTTTTGGGGGGTCTTTTGGCCTGGTCTGGATAACACTCGTCTTTTCATGAGTCTTACCGCTGGAGCTGGAACTAGATGCATGAGTCTTCTCCTTTTAGTACCTTTTCCAGCTTCACGGGTCCTGTTAATAAAGGGGGTTCGTCCACCTCCACATGGCACACGGCAGTTTCACCGTTGCAGCACCGACGAGAAAGTTGCTTCCCTGCAACATCTGCACGGTGCCTCCACCGAACTAGCTGCAGGCAGGGAGCTTCTGGGATACTCCACCTCAGCATGCAATCTCCGGTAAGTGACTGCGTAAGGCCTCTGGATTTTCTTCGAGTAGGGCCGGCATGGCCATGAGGAAAGCGAAATCTACAAGACATGTCTTCTCTTGCCCGGAAGCTGTCACTGCCGCAACGCGAGGGTACCGGATCGCGGACAAGGTCTCGGCGGCTGGGGCGCACACCTGCAATAAACGTCTGCGGTGTTGTCAGTAATAAAGACCGAACGCTTGGAAACGGCCGGATCGGACGGCCAAACCCAAAGCCAGCTGCTTTCTTAGCATACATAACGACCTATCCAAAAACGGCCCGGCAAAAAACAAAGCCCCGTGCCGGTCGGAGAAGCTCCGCGGTCACGTAGCTAGGCGCCGTGAGCACCTGCGCTCAGTATGCTCAGTGCACAGCTTCTGCCGCATAATCTGACGGCTTGGAGAAGTTTCAGTGGTTTTGGTCATGCCGCCAAGCGACCACGGCGCGACTGCGCAACCGAACCGAGCCGTTGGGCGTGTCGTAGTCGAGCACATGCACCTGTCAGGTTTCGGGTTTAGGGCCTTAGGGCCTTAGGACCTTAGGGTGTATCGTGAGTCTATGATGTCAGAGCCAGCCCCCCTGCATTGAGTATGCACTCACTGCCTGGCTCTGCTCGTCGAAGGCCTTGGGCAGCTCTGCTGGTAGCAGCACAGAGTCCCTGCTACACTCGCCAGTTGCAGGCCTCCAGAACTAGGAAACTACAGGGCTCCTGTTAGGGCACCCTACCCGTTCTGCTGTGTGTCCCTTCTTGGGGCATGAGGAGCACGATTGTGACAAAAGGGTAAACTGCGTACACCAACAGACATGCACTGAATTTCGGCGCCGCGGCCAGCTTCTTCAGCTTCCAATTGAGCTGCACAGGGCTGCCTTTGCTGCCGATGACTGCGCACCTGGTCGCTGGGGCGATGAATGCTGGCAAATGTAGGGGGTTGGTTCAGGCCTGTCAATTACAATACATTACAATACTGCCACAGCATGATCCCTGTGCGGACCCTGGCTGGCGCGAGCCTAAGTTCAGGGAAACCAGATGAAGCACGCAGAGCCCCAAATCCCAAGACTAATTGCCCCAGAACGACTCCACATCCTTTCGCCGAGGGACAGGGCGTCGCTGAACTGTTTCAGACCTTCTCGGAAGGATCCGACCGTCTGGCCTGGTGTTGCTTCGCAGGGACTGGGATCTTGGGCTTCGGACTGGAGAGCTGTCGGGCTCAGCATGATCATAAGCCTTGGGGGCAGAAAGCACATGTGACCTCTGCGAAGGTGCGCCGCAAACAACACTGCATGCGCGAAACTGACGGCCTGAAACAGCAAAACATGGGAAGCACCCAAGCCACACCCCATGAACTTAAAACCACAGTCATCACGATGACAGCGACAAGGAAGGAGGAGGACGAGGAGGAGGAGGACGAGGAGGAGGAGGAGGACGAGGAGGAGGCCGCCGCGCCAACGACCAAGCAGAGCAAACAACATAAAACAAGCAAACGCCACACAGCAAGTTACGTCGATCATCCCCCAAATTGTCCACCCGGCATCCACCCTACAGCTACCCGACGTGGGAGTCACCCTGCCAACTTTCGGACAAGGTATTTACCCATACTTTTGTCTCAGGCTTCCGTCGCGGGACGGTCTGCGGAATTCTCCGGGCTGGGCACTCCCGGGGCTCTTGCGGGATTCCCTGAAAAGGGTCCTTCTGACAATATTCGGCAAATCTTCTGCTAGATTTCTGGGGGTGGACGCTCCAAGGATAATGCTCGGCGGTGGGGCACCCAGGCCGACAAAACACAACGAACCATGAACCTTGCTAACACCCTCCTAAAACTACAACCCCGTTCGGCCGCGGTAGCTCTCTGATATAAAGCTAAGCGGAGGAAGATCATTCATGCGATGGCTACTCATGGTCGCAGCAGGCCTTTGACTTCTGGGAGGCGTGGGTCCCTGGGCTCCTTCTCCTCGGCGCCTCGCTCCTGCAGGGACTTCGGGACTGCGGGCTCTTAGGGTCTTGAGGGGCTTGGGTTCAGGGATGTTCACAGTGAAGCGATGTGGGAGGGACTTCGCGGCTTCTAGGGCCTTGAGCTCTTTGATTGCTGGAAGTTCAGGCTTCGGGCTTCTTGGGGGCGTTCTTTTTTGCCACCAACCTCGCAGTCCCCCAGACCACACTGCAGCGAAGCAAATAGCTGTCATTCTCAACGGTCGCGGTCGCTTGACGTCTAGGGCTGTGGGGTTTGGGGGCTTGGAGTTGCGGAGTGCCGCTGCTCGAAGATGTTCCAGTTCGTAGACCTTGAATGACCCCTAACCTCTCAATCCCCACAACAACTTTCTTTGAAGTTGCCGCCAATGGCCAAACCGTCCGTAATTACGGTTGAGAGTCGAAGCCATGAATAGCCATGAACAGCTTCGGCCTCCAACAGTTAAACAAGGATTCCTTTTGTGTTTGCTTGGCCCTTCTTCTGCAACCTGTGCGCAACAAAACCTTTTTGGCAACAGGCTTGGAGCAGTGCCGCCCGGAACGGCGCAGGCCTGGAAAAGCTGGATGGCCCCAGCCTCGGGTGCAGAAGGTAACCACCCGAAGGCCCAGCTCTGCAACCGACCACGCCACTTACGACCCCATGACCTGCCATGGACGTTACCTGCGACAGGCGTGTGACGCATCTGGACGGAACCGAAAAGTTTCTTGTAGCAGTCGGGGTTTGTGGACGCCGACCCACCGTTTGCACACGCTCGAATGACGAGGTTTGCGAGGATTCTCCGAGGACTCGTCTGGGTATTGAAGTGCAAGCACTATGCTTGCATCCTGCACGGCTTACATACTAGCATTCGAAAAGTACTAGTTTTGAAAAGACCCATAGGGCCACTGACGACACCAGGATGCTCTCAAGTGCAAGCCTGCACGGATGAAGAAGGGGGGCGGGGGGGGGGGCCTCGCATTTGTAGACACAATGCTCATATGGTTGGATTTTGAAGAGATTCGGAGAAAATTTTGGCAACTTCTCTTGGCGGCAAGATGTTCTTAGATGCTTTGGGGCGTAGGGTTCGAGGACATAGCTTAGCGTGCCCGAGAAGAAACTCGATCCTACACCCAAGCCCAGGTTGTTTTGTGCCACCTCTGACCTCTCTCGGAGTTTTAGTTTGCCACCCGCCTTCTCTCGGAGTTTCGGGTTTAATCTTTTGAGGTTTAGGTTCGGATAATACTATATAACACACTTGTCCTACTTTCTTGATGTATGTCTTTTTTTCTGTTTCTTTACTCAATTTTCCTTGTTCATGTCTTTCTTTCATTATTTCCTTTCTTGGTTTCTGTCATTATTTCCTCCCGTCTCCGTCTTTCGTTACAGCAAATCTAGCTGCCCATCTCGAGTACGGCACGTGTGACCTGGTTTCGGGATGATTTAACTTGTTGATCCCGGATGCAATTGGCTCTTTGATCCTTGTCCCCCCGACCAGCTGGGGTTCGGGGTGCGCGAGCTGCATGGCATTCGAGGTGCGCTCAAGATCCCGCAAAAAGGCTGTGAGTCAGTTGAGGTCCTGGCTACGAGTGATCCAGCTTTTTTCTCGAGCACCTGATGGGAATGCTTGAGAAGGACGGCAAGAAAGGGCTGCAGGATGCTTGTCCCACGCTCACGCTGTGCCTGCACTCGTCCTGTTGCAGCTTCAGCAGAGAGAGTGGAGGGATCTCCAGCATAAACCTTGCGCAGCGAGCTGAAGCCACGGCTAGTGCCAAGATTGGTTCACCACTTCACCCACTTGTGAAGCGATGCTTAACATTCTCAGCAGACACATGCCAAGACACATGCGCACTGCAGGTTTAGCATTCACTGAAAGCCCCCGCTCACGCTGTGAAGCCCGACGCCGCTCACGAAGGGATCTATGAGGCGCTGGAAGGCCTCAAGGGGCTCGGCTTGGTGTGCTTTAGTGCTTTGGGCATTGGGCTTCGGGGTGGTGGCGACCACTGGCACCAGAGTTGAGGGAGCGAAAGCACTTGTTCTACTGCCTGTAATCTTCTCTCCCAGCTGCACAGTGCTGGCACATGTAACTCAATCAAGACGAAGCATCTGTCCGGCGACTTTTCGGGCAAAGCGCGATGGGTCAGGTCGGATGGAATGCACAGACTGATTTGCTCCCTCTTCCAGTTTTCCGAATGCAAAGGTTAGGTTATTTGCACCGGCCTAGAGCAACAAGGGCTACTCGCGGCTGCCGCGCTGCCCTCCCCAACTATCATGCTGCTCTGTTCTGGTCCAGCTAACAAGACCCGCAGCTAATGCTCGCCGTATGCCACAGTTTGTCTGGGGCTGTGGATGACACTTAAGATAGGTAGAGGGAGTTGCCCTTTGGTAGAGCGTGAGAAACCTGGCCAGCTGCATGACAGCGGCGCTTTAGGCTGCTAGCTCAAGGCCTGCAGACTCGGACTTTTTGGCACCTGTTTAGGCTAGCCACAATGCAGGGTAACACTTTGGTATGTACTGTTCAACGCTCAGCACGCGGGAGCAGCAAAGCGAGCTCACTCACCCTAAGATCGAGCATGTTTCGAGCTGATTCTGCATGACAGTGTCGTGCTGAGTATGTGAAGTATGGGTCAAATTAAGACTCTGCGCTTAAGGTCTTTGGGGAATTCACATCCAAAACAAGGCCCCACGCAGTGGCCCATGAGCATGCTTCCTATTCCTCTTGCTGCCCCTCAAACGCTGCGGATCCTTGCAGCGGCCAGTGTGGCAAAAGGGACTGGACATCACTCATCCGAACCTACGGCCTACATGATGTTGCACACGACTTCGGCCCATCTATCGCGCTCTGGAAATGTTTTCTTCGGCTCCTTACCCCCCCACCCACTAGGGCATCTAAGCAGCCGGATGAGTTGAGGATGCCCTCAGCCGCCTGAGGTCGGAAGAGGCCGGAATGGTGTTGGCAGAACCCAAAGCTAGCCCTCCAAAGCCAGAATCGCGCAATGACTCTGCCCTGCACGGCCTCGGGCACAGCGCCCAGGACAGGGCTAGAGGACTTCGCACCGCGGCGGCCTCGGCGATCTCTGGGACAACTGGCTGCTAAAGGCTGCGGGGATGTTTAGAGGGGCCTGATGCTTGGGGGCTTAGGGTTGAGGAGGCTCAGGGTGTGTACATGCCTAGGGAGTTTTTTGGCATTCACGCACTTAAAGCAGATGATGTTCTCGGCAGGCAAGGCGACTGCTTCTAAGGCTCGTAAAACCTATAGGCATCGATCCTTCCGTTTAGAACTCTCACAGATCGATTTCTGGGGGCATCACGGCGTTCTGTTATTCCACGCTCTCTCACAGCTCAGGCAGCTGCATGCAGCAGGTTTGGGTTTTGACAGACAGGCAAGGCCATCCGGCACCAACATCTGCAGCATCTGCTGCATAGGCTTTTTGCATCCAGCCTTAAGCCCGCAAAGCCGACGAGGAGCCTCCCAGAAGCTCTTCCTCTGCATCCTCCGACTTGGTCTCGGTCCGGCGCCCAGCTGGCAGACCTCGCGGTCGAGAACTTTAGGTTTCGTTTTGCCTGAAGAGGCATAAGGGGCTTAGGCTTAAGGGCTCGAGGGTTTTAAGGCTTCAAGGATTTGAGGTTCGAGACAGGCAAGGCTTCGAACGATTCTCGGGTCGCATGGAAACTCGTGAGTCAGGCTCACTGCATGTGGTAACAACACCACTGTCGCTTTAGGGAGTTCAGGGCTTCAATGCATTTTGGGATATTAGGTTTCAGGGCAAAGGCCTATGCTCGGGAGTTCAGAGGTTAGTCCTCATATCTTAGACAAGCCAGGCAAAGCACAATCCACCTCATACGGGCACAGGCGGCGAGGCAAACACGCACAGTCTAAGGCTCCAGGATTAGAGAGTTTAGGCTTTTCTTGTGCCACCTCGGCGTATGCAGAGTTTAGGCTTACT